GTAGCAATGGTGGCGACAGGTAGGTGTGGGATCAATGCTCCGGAAACTCTCCAGCCAGGCCTTGGTCCAATTCCGTAAGAGAATACATCAGTACCTTCCAAAATTTGCATGCCTAGTTCAAGAGTTTTTCCCCCATTTAATCTCCAAGTAGATGTAGTCGGTGGGTTCTATTGATCTCATAACTAATTATTTTTCCCATTGCCATTACAGGCGCGATTCCATCACCGAAGAGATTACGATTACAAGCACCACAAACGGCACACTGAGCACCAAACTTCTAACCATACAGGAAGCTACCGGTAGCTTAGAGACAACAGCAGCGTCTCCATATCGTTGTCCTCCAAACAGAACGCTTCCACAGTTCCAGCCACAGCCGGTGGATCTCCTCCTCGTGCCGCTAGTCTCTCCACGCAGCGAAATGAATCCTCGGGCAGCAACCATAGCTTAACCCAGGCCACCTCTTCCACTAGTCCTCCCACTTCCAGTACAGCTGCCCAGGGAGTCACGCCCAGCATTAATATAGTGGGCAGCGAATCGAGTCGAGATCAGAAGGAACAGAGCATCGATTCCAACGGATTTACCGCCCCCGGTGGCTCCTGCACGGACAGTCCCAGCAGCCGGAAGAGTTCCACCAGCTCCAAGGGCAAGGGCGCCAGTCAAGCGAAGTTATCCACATCCAGCAACGGACGCGACGAGGTGAGTTATTCATGAAGCAAGAGATATATTTCCAGGATTTCCACGAATGAATTGAATTCATTCATTCGTTGAAGAGTTTGAAATTTATAATAATCTCATAGATTAGAATATAGATAACAGACCCATAAATGACTCATAGCTAAGGGCAGTCTCTAGTGGTACTCATAAAATTGAACGTTTTTACAAAGCTTTGACCAAACTATTTTGCCATATGCACCTGAGTAATGAGTCATTATTTATGACAACTTTTCTGTGAGGTAAATGAACGGACATGACATTGTATGCCAACTTCAGGGGGTTGAAACACCATGCCATTTTTTGAACTAAAACAATACTTTATTACTTTATCTAAAAATACACAGTACAGAACGCTCAAAGTCTGCTTTTCGAGAGGTTTATGGTTTTAGCAGAAAGTTTATTAAATGTGAGCATGATAATTCAAAAGGTTTACTAATTGGAAACGAGAAATAAGCCTGGGCATATTGCATCATTGCCAAAACGTGTTTACTATAATAAAACATTTATTTCAATGACTTGAATTATATTCTTTCAAGGTTTTATAATATTGATTATAGCCTAAAGCCAACTGCGACGCCTTAACATTTATTTATTATTTAATATTCAAATGTCTAGGGTTTTCCTTCAAAAACTTCCCAAAACTGCCTTTCCCATATACATATATTTAATTTTTAATGTTAAGGGCTTGTCACCAAACCCACAACTATTTCCGTATTTATTTGAATATTCGTAGAAAAGCTTGACACAAGCTTTCATAACTTGCACACTAGGTGGATTCAAATCATTAGCACCACACACGCACACCCCAAAAAAAAGGTGTGAAATTGCCGCAGCTAAGTGCTCAAATTAAATTAAACTACACTCGAGGGAGAGCGATCAATCGATCAGTGATAGCTCGAATGGTGAACAAAACCAGGATGAACCGATAGATAGATAGACAGACACGGGGTATCGAGATTAATAACCACACATTGGCCATCCAACAGCTCAATCTAATCACTTGGTGATAAGGAGCATATGTGTATATGTATTGTTTACATTCTCTCACACCTGGCGGCAGCTGATTAGGATCACCCTTCAATGCAAAAGCTCGCTACATAAACGTTTGGGTTGGGGCTCCAAGCTTTTTTTTTCTACCACCCCATTGATAAGGCTCCGTTTTGAGAGTGTTGTGTGTGTGTTGAGCTCCCATTGACGTTGGCCCGCTCGGCTGGCAATAGCAAATTAGAATTCAACAAGCGACGAAGCGTCTCAGCGAAAGCCAAAAAAAAAATAATAACAAAAAATAATAACGATCGTTTGCTGCAGCGCGAAACTTTGTGTAAATAATTGGGGGTCGTAAACGAACAACAAGCGTGTGGTGTGTGATAAGAAATAAAACCAAACACCTGGCCGAAGAGTAGTTTCCTGGGAACAGTTGGTGAATCACCCACAAAAAAGAAAAAAAAAATGAAAAAAGAGTTAACAAGCTCAGCGAACAGGTGGCCAAAAAACCGAAAAGATATCAGAACTTGGTGGTGCCATTAAATTAGACCTAAAATGTTCACGCCGTCACAGTTCACCATATAAATGGAAATCCTCATGGTGTTTGATCAGCTCTCCCTCTCGCTTGTCTCCCAGCAGGACACCACCCAGCACCGTCTGAGCGATCTGACACCGCACGAACTGAGTCTGCTGCGCGTCGATAGGGAGCAGCAGGTGACCAGCAGCAGTTCCACATCCAACGAGAAGCCAGCCAAGCCCTCGCGTCTATCGGAGCGGGCCAAAAAGAAGTCCTGGTACAACGTCATCTATCCCAATTATAAATCCCGGGCCGAGGATTTCAAGAAGCTCTTCAAGGACGTGCCCAACGATGAGCGTCTGATTGTGGGTGAGTTGGAATAGTTTCCACCAAACAGCTCGTAATACGTTCAGTTTGAAAAAGATCCCTGCATAGATAGAACCATATTTAAAATTGTAAAAACTTGCGATAACTATTCTTAAAGATCAAAATTCATCACGTAACAAATCAAATAAGAATTCGCACATTTAATGATCAGATTTTTAATGAGCTATTCATTCAAAATGGGGCCGAAATTGACAGTAATAAAACATAAAAGCAATATGAAAGTACTATTATTTTTAATTAAAATTCAATGTGCGTACAATTATGAAATAATTGCAATACAAATTTTTAATAAATGTTAACATCTTTCACAGATTACTCGTGTGCCCTGCAGCGTGACATCCTGGTTCAGGGTCGTCTGTACGTTTCACAGAACTACGTTTGCTTCCATGCCAACATCTTCAGCTGGGAGACCTACGTGAGCATCAAGTGGAAGGATGTGACGGCCATTACCAAGGAGAAGACAGCCTTGGTCATACCCAATGCCATTTCAATAGCCAGCGGCAAGGATAAATACTTCTTTGCCACATTTACCTCACGTGACAAGAGTTTCTTGATGCTCTTTCGCGTCTGGCAGAACACGCTGATGAACAAGCAGTTCTCGCCGCAGGAGATTTGGAAATATGTGCACAACTGTTACGGCGAGGAGCTGGGCCTGACCACCGACGACGAGGACTACATCGATCCCACGCTGGATAACGACAACGAGACGGATTTCGACTTCCAGACGGCCATCGATGACGATAGCCAGTCGCAGCGCCAGTCGCAGCAGTCAAATCAGTCCAATCAGTCGAATCCCCAGCTGCCACAGAGCGGCAACAGTAGCGCCAGCAGCGGCGGTGGAGCCGTCAGAGCCAGTGCTCCGCGAAAGTCCAAGACGAAATACTTCTTCAACTCTCCAAATCCTCGGCCAACGCCTCGGCCAGCGGTTCCGATAACAACAAGACCAGGGAAAGCTCACGCAAGCTGAATAAGAAGATGAAGCAAAACGCCAAGGAGCTGACTCTCAGCTCCGTCAAGCCCGCTGAGCAGTCGGTGAGCGTCACCATGGCACCGGTGACCAGTGCCAGTAGCAGCAGCACTGCCGGCTCCACCACAGCCTCCACCACCACCATCGCCAACCACACCGCGGGCTCTGGCTCTGGATCGGTTTCGGGATCGGGCACAGCTGCTGCCAGCAGCAGTGGTAGCGATAAGAAGAGTGCGGAGAAAAAGGTCAGCACGAGCTCAAACTCATCCGCAATAGCAGCTGCTACAGCCGCAACATCCGCTGCCACATCCGTTTCCGGCGCCACGGCAATGGAATCGACGGCAATGGAATCGAAGCTGGAATCAAACGTAAGCCAATAAAAGTGGCAAAAATATTGACGAGACTGTTCCCACGGATGTCTCTGATTCGTCCGACTCTGAGGAGAATAATGTGCCGTAAGTTTGTTACATTTTCCTCTTAAAATGTAATAATAATTATATCATTAATTTTCAGATTTGTGCCCAGCACAGAGTGCACCTCGACGCACGAAGGCCGCCAGATCGTCCACACCATTCTGCCCATTAGCGTGGACACACTGTTCAATTTGCTATTTAGCAAGTCCAAATTTATCACTGACTTCCATGCCATGCGCAAGTCAACGGACCTCATCATGGGCGAATGGTCAAGAACGACGAGGGTCTCAATGTGCGCACAGTGAACGTCACAGTTCAATTGGCCGCCTCTGTGGGACCCAAGACCTCAAAGGTGAGTGCAGCAAGCTGAAAATAGACTAGAATAAATAAACTGATTGCAAACTGCATATATTGATTCCCCTCTTCTCCTGTTTAGGTGACCGAATATCAAACAATGCGGGAGTGTAGCAAGCCGGGCGAACTGTATTCCATAGACGTAAATAGTGTTAATGCAGGCATTCCATATGCGGACAGTTTCAGTGTGCTCATACACTTCTGCCTGGCCAGGTTAGTCATCCATCGGGCACTCTTTCAATGAGTTTATCATCTTTAATATGCCTTAATCTTTTACTTTGCCACAGAACTGTTGATGATCACACGATGCTATCGATTCACACTCAGATCAAGTACAAGAAATCAATTTGGGGCGTCGTCAAGGGTTTCATCGAGAAGAACACGTGGGCAGGTCTGGAGGACTTCTTCGGTGCCCAATTGCATGCACTCCAGAGCGAGACTTGCATTCCGCCTGCCAAGGGCAAGGGACGTAGGCCGCGAAGAGGTAAGCAGATTGATTTAATTAATAACTACAGTGCAACAACCACAACAACAAGAACAACAACAAAAACATCAAAACAATAGCAAAAATTTTTATCTTTAAACTTTTTACTGTAATGAAATTAATTCAATTCAATCAGTATCCGAATTCGATTAACACTGCCAAAAGCCAATTGCCAATTGCTTCTTCTAACCTAAACAAAACGCACGCATGACAACCACCACAACTTAACATCAACATCAACATCATGTTAACAACATCAACAACAACAACAACCAAAAGCCACAACAAGCTACAACAACCAACATACATCACAGGCATAAACCAACAATCGGCAACATCATCAGCAAAAACAACGGCAACCAGTACGGACAATGACAGCATCAAAGAGGCCCCACATAAACCCCATGAGATGACGCCGCATCCCGCTCAGCATCAGCACCTGCACATGCATCATCATCATCATCATCACAGCGCCAGCCAGTCGAGTCATCAGCAGCACAGAGAAATGAGCACAGGCACTCGCACCATCATCATCATCATCAGCATCAGCATCAGCATCAGCTTAACCATCATCAGCATCCCCATTGGCATCATCGTAAGGCTATCTTTCAGTCGAGCAGCAGAGGTACAGCTTGAATTATTTGGGGTTGGAGAAAGAATATTACTTATTTTGCGTTATTTAAAGTTTGTAGATAATCATTTTTAAAACTCTCTTTAAAGGAAGTGTTTTTTTTTAAAACTCATTTTAAGACTTATTTATCTGTGGTTTTTAAGAAACGGAGTTGTAAATGCTGGCAGCTTATCAGTTAATTACTTAGGGTAGCAGATTATTTTGTTTCTTATCTAACACGCGAATGCAGACAACAAATTTGACAGGTGTTAAAAAAATACAAAGGCCAAACTAATGAGGGTCTCAAGAAAAAGAATTATTTATATAGGGTTTTCATTGGGTAATTAATATAAAAGAAAATGTAGAAAGGGTTTACTTCTTATAATATGATACGTAAAGTTTAAAGTTAAAAAAAAATAATACATATTTTAAAAGATACACATATAAAAATGATGTAAGAATAGAGTCATTCAGATTTATGACACAGTAAATTCTAGCAAAGATAAAGATTAATTACTCATAAATTAATAACAAAATGTTACCGATCATAAACCATGGAACTTGACCTTATTTTGGAATGACTACTTTTTCTATTTAATCGAAACTATTTTCCCAACTGTAATGCTTACTTTTCCTTGCCTTTATCAAATCCTCGATAAGAATTTGCCTCATTTTCTTCAAACTTGGTGTCACAACTTTTGTGTCAACTTGCTAGCCGGACCACATGAACATCGACCAATAGCTTGCTTTTTATTACAACCTGATTTATTTGGTAGTTAATCGATCTTTTGTTGTACTCTTAATGTTGTGATTTTGTTGCCCAGCACCGCAGACACACACTGCTTATGATCAGTTTTGAATTTTTCGTTTGAATGATTTTTGTTTCTAACCGTTGCCATTTGCCATTCCTCTCGACGCCATGCTCGTCCCCGTTTCTCCACAGGTACCGCCACACAAATCCGACCCCTGGAGGAGGCAAGCGGCACGACCCAAGCCGGCAGCATGGCTGGCCATTCCGGTGGCGACTCCCTGGAGACCCAATTGCTGTCTGCGGGAGGTGTCCCTGGGGCGGCAGTCGGCGCCGCCTCCAGTCATCCGCTGCTGCTCGAAGGCGGCAAGCTGCAGCAGCAGCAGTTGCACCATCATCACCATCACCTGCAGCAGCATCAGCAGCAGCACCACCAACAGCAGCAGCAGTTGCACTTGGGAGGCGGCGCTGGCGATGGCCAGCAGCTGGCGATGGGTCCAGGCCCTAAGCACGGACACAGCAGACTCAACACAAGGGCTTGTCGTTGTGGTTATACTGTTGCTGTGCTTGATGCTGGCATTAAATGTGATATTATTACTTAAGCTCTGGAAGCTGGAGGAACGGGATTGATGTGGATCTCAGTCGGCGGGCGCGATTGCCCAGTTTGGCAGCCTCAAAGTGAGTTAGAATAGATATCTGTGTCTATCTATATCTAATAAATAATATTTGGCTTTTACAGGAACTACCAAACACGAATCAGGAATGGCTGGAGCTGCTGCGCGACCAGGAGATGGCGCACCGAGGATGAGTTGCACAAGTGGCAACAGGTGCTGCAGACGGCCATCGATCTGCTGAAAAAGGTGAGCATTGTCTGCCAAAGAATCTACAACGATGACAATCTGCGTCAGAGCATTGAGTCAATGTCGATGGCAACGGCGGCAAACGCACACTGAATTCTAAGCATCTCATTTTCACGGTGAAATAACGAAGATCCCAGAGTCAGGAAAAAAAACCACAACAAACCAGAAAGCAACAACTAATTGTAACTTTAACACTCACAAAAAACACAACACATACACATGTTATACAAGAAAAGTGCGTTTCATAATGCGAAGGAAAAGTGGAACAGAGATTTAATAGCAACTTTTTACTTTAAATTATTTAAAATCCAATTTCTTTTTTTATTTATTTATATAGAGATTACTAAAGTAGCGGAAGAAAATCATAATTTATTAGATAATTTAATAAATAAACAAAACAATTTCTTAAGTTAAACAAAAGTAAAATAAGTTTTCTAAAGTAATTTAGTTTTTGAAATCATAGAATGTCTTGAAAAGGAATCTTAACATTCTGAAACGCACTGTCTTAGCGGGCATTTGTTACTGATCTCTCTTAGTTAGCAAAAAACACAAAACCCCAAAAACAAAACAAAAATTGTTGCATGTTTCTTCTGCTTGGTTTTACCCTCGGCACAGTGACTAAAGTGATAAATGTTGTTAAGATCGTGAAACAAAAAGGAAAGAAACCCAGCTTTAATCATTGATTTTCAACGACCAGAGAGCGAGATAAAAAGAGAGCAACTCCTTAGAAATAAGTCTTGTATTCCGTAGAGCAAACTTGAGGCCAACAAAATTTTGTGAAATAAATTTATTAATCACTTTGATTTGTTTCCAAAAAAAACTAAATGCAAAAGTTCAGAGCGAGGAACAAACAAAAGCTAAGAAAATTCCTGCGGAAACATAAACTCGAACTCCCATTGTAGAAATGTAATTTTTGTAAGTAACTTTAATTTTTGTAACTTTTCTGTGTGAAAACTACTCATTCTCGCACTTAACTAACTATTTTTTATGTTTTACTAATGTGTTTAAAACCTTTTCTGTGTGAAGAACTTTATTTCTTTTGTTTTTAATCCGTTCTACTCAAATATTTTGTTTGTTTTTTCAGACTGAAAGAACTTTGGCTGAAATAATTGTACGCTAGCAGAAAATATTTCATAAAAAAAACGAAAGTTGTTGTGCAATTTAAATTAAAACCCAATCCAATTGTCTTCGACACACAAGCTACCAAAACACCCAAGCAAAAAAGAAGAAATCTGAAATTGAATTTGAAAATTCAACTTAAATTTAGTCACAAGCCCAATAATACACACAGATTGGTCATGGATTCGTATTTAATTTTACGTTTTATGTTTAAGAAAGTGCAACGTGTAAGTTACAAGTCATAAATAGCTGCATTTTAGTTAGATTAGAGCAATTGTTTTCGTTTTTAAACACGCATTTATGTTTGCTTGGCTTTGCTTTAGACAAATGTATCTACGAATTCCTCAAGTATTTCATATCTCACAACACATCCAAAAAAAAAGGGAAACTAGGAAAACTAGAGAAGAAACAAATCATGAGAGAGCGCCCTGAATTTTTGTTTTTAGAAAATTCATTTATGTGTCAAGCAAGCGCAAAGCAAAACTGGCAAACTGAAAACTAAAGAGTATATATATAATAATAGTATAATAATATATAAAATATGAATGCCAGTCTTTGGCTAGAGAAAATTTGATAAAAACGATTATACAAAAGTGTTTATTGTGTACAATATTTTTGTAAAACCGAATTGAAACAATTGTTTTCTTTTGTTATAAATACTCCAAACTCTTTACCCCCAAAACCCGTTTTTTGGCGCCCGTTTTACAGACGATACCGATACCAATACAGCAACCAGAAACTATTCAAATTTCAAAACTGCTAACACAAAGTAATGACATACTCTATATACACTATATATATGTACCATATATATATATATAGTCAAGTATTGTTAGTCTGTAGTAGTTGCATTTTAAATTAAAGGAACACAAGGCAAGAGTAAACAAAACAAAAGCAAAAACATGCTAATAAATTTAGATCTAAGATGATTAAAATTGGAATGTCGGCTTGATGCCTTCATTAAAAAAGTAATTTTCGTCAAATTAATTTTGGCCGTCGCAAAATTGGCTTAAAATTTGTGTCACAAAATGTTAGGCTTAATAAACAAGAGAATACAAGAATAAGAAAACCGAATGTTAAGCAGCAGTAATACAAATTCTAATTTATTATAAAATCAAATGAATAAAATATAAAAAAAAAATCCAATATATGTTCTCAATTATTTTAAGCTACCATAAACTAGAGTTATAATTATTACAAGATGCTTTTAAACAAATTTTCAAGAGAACCTGAAGCTAATTATAAAGAATTGGAGTGGAAAAAATCGTCTGGCGTTAAGCATCTTCTTATTAAAAAGGTTTAAATTACATTTTCTTATCTTGGACGTTGATGCACTAAGTTCAGTACATTCAAGTGGCCCGTATGACACCAGGCACGTGCCTGTTAGGGTTAGGTGTTAGTAGGCGCGATGGAAAATATAGGACAGAATACGAGGAAAATTGAACTACCGGCGTGCTGCCAGATTGTTAGCTTGCATGCTTACTAAGTGTGTTAGTATTAAAGATTTTAATTTAGGAAGGGTATCTACGTTAGAGATTAGTGTGTACAAATCATTATAATTTGCACATAGCACTCTAAAAGGTTCATGCAGTTCAAAGGAGGTTCTACAGTGGCGCAACACTAATGGGATATAGGATCTAGTAGTTCTACATGGTACATGGAAATTAAGCTGACCCAACAAGTCAGCACTTTCCACATCACCATGGATAAGGTTAAAAATAAAGGTTATCCCTAGCATCGTTCTACGATTTGCTAAGGACGGCAAGTTTATTAATAGGAGTCTACTAGAGTAGGAAGGTAATCTTTGGTTTGCATCCCAATTTAAACCGCGTAGAGCGAAAAGTAAAAAGTTCTTTTGAACCGACTCAATGCGTTTACTATGGACGCCGTACTGAGGGCTCCAAACGCCGCATCCATATTCTAGATAGGACGAACTAAGGAAGTATATAAGGATTTAGTAACATAGGGGTCATTGAATTCCTTCGACCACCGTTTAATAAATCCAAGCACACCCCTGGCTCTATTCACCATAGACGAAATATGATCAATAAAGTCAAGTTTTGGGTCCAAGCGGACGCCCAAATCGTCAACAGAATTAATTCTTTCCAAAGAGCAGCAGTTCAGCGTGTAAGTAGCAAGCTTAGGAACGACACGTGAGAATGTCATTAGCTTGCATTTCGAGTCATTTAAGTTTAATAAGTTTACACGGCACCAAGTTTGAAAATTATTAAGATCTGTTTGTAAATCCGACTGGCAGGCAACGTCATTGTATTGCACGCAAAGCTTGACGTCATCCGCGTACATAAGTACTCTGGAGTTAGTCAAGACTTTGGGCAGGTCATTTATAAATAATGTAAACAATAAGGGTCCCAAATGGCTTCCTTGCGGGACGCCAGATGTAACCCTTAGAACATTGGATAAATTATTCTTAAAGAGGACCTTTTGCGTCCTGCCATTCAAATAACTTGAGATCCAATTAAGAAGATCACTTGGAAAACCCATTGAATCGAGTTTTCTAACGAGGAGAGAATGGTTAACAGAGTCAAAAGCTTTACTGAAATCAGTATAGATTACATCTGTCTGACAATTATTATGGAAGCCCTTTATAATATAGGAAGAGAGCTCCAAAAGATTTGTTGTTGTTGATCTTCGCTTAATAAAACCATGTTGACATGGAGAAATAACCGATCTACAAAGGTGCTGTAAATGAGGGGTGATAATATTTTCAAATAATTTGGGATGGCCGACAACTTAGAGATTCCTCTATAATTGCTGGCATCCAATTTGCTACCTTTTTTGTGGAGAGGAATAATAAACGATTCCTTCCAAATAATGGGAAAGTGGGAGGTTTCTAAGGACAAGGTAAACAATTTCAGAAGGGGATAGCACAGGGCGTCGGCGCAATACCTGAGCACACAGCCTGGAATTCCGTCGGGACCTGGCGAATAAACTGGCTTGACACGATGAAGATCTAAAAGGAGAGAGCTTTCGTTTAGGCTGGGACAGAAAATTAAGTTTGATTTGGGTATGTCGTAGGAATAGGTCTGGTGTAGATACGAAGAGCTAGAATAGGTTGTTTGAAAAAACTGCGAAAATAGATCGGCTATTGCCTGATCATTATTTGCGGTAGTATTTTCAAATGAAAGCGAGGAAGGATTTGTTTTAGGTTTACGTTTAGTGTTAACGAAATTATAAAACTGTTTTGGGTCCTGTGAGAACTGGGCCTACAACGAGTTAAATAGTTTTTGTAACACTGCGCGTTCAGCACGGAAAAGTTTGACCGAGCTGATAAATAAAATGAAAGGGCAGATTGAGAACCGGTGATTTTGAATTTAGCATACAGTCTAGATTTTTTATTTTTAAGTCGGCTCAACTCTTTAGTAAACCACGGCGGTTTATTCTAGCTTGGCGGATAATATAACGGAACACATTCAGTAAAAAATGAATTCATGGCACTGTAAAAAATATCCACGGCAACTGCCATGTCAGTGCACATGTATAGATCAGACCAATTGAACTCGTTTATAAAATTATTCAGCCGTTCAAAGTCCGTTTTGCGAAAACATAGGACTTTATTGGCTGGACGATCAGAAATATTCTGTACGTCACACCCAATATCAAGAGTCACATCGAAAGTTGGATGATAAGGATCTTCGGGCTGCGTCAGAGGCGCCACCCTTGCTAAACTGACTCTCGCAGGATCAGAGACGAAGCAAAGATCGAGCAAGCGCTGTAAGGAATTTCGAACATGGTTGACTTGAGACAGCGAAATGTCAAACAAGCCAGCGATAAAGTCATGTTGTGTAGGTGTATGGAGAGTATTGGTGGAATTATTTGAGCACCAAATAGCACCAGGGATATTAAAATCTCCTAGAACTACCAACTGGTCTCTATCCAAAAGTCTACTGGAAACCATCTGAATAGCGGAAAGGTGATTCCAATAAATAGGAAGTTCCGACAGTGGAGGTATGTAGGAACAGGTAATAAAATAAATAAATAAATAAATAAACATCACATTTTTATTAAATCCAATCTTTAAGCATGGATAACAGCTGCTTTTGAAGTTGTTCTGCCATTTCTTTTCCTTCAACTCATCATTTAAATTTGAAGTACTTTCCAAATGGTTGAACTTCTTTACTTATGGAAGCTTAGTGACACCTCTACAAAGATGGCAAAATTATATAATTTATTTGGTTTTTCCGGAGTTGTCTTGATAAGGATCTATATAATTTTAGATTCGCCAGCGATCATTGGAAAGCGGCACAGCTTTAAAGGAACGGGAGGATTCCCTAACGCTTCGCATTTTTCGACCTGAATTCTTTGAGAGCTTGGTGGGAGACTTGGCCATAATTTTCTTTTTCTGTACACGTTCCACCTTCTCCTTGGCACCACGATCTGCCTTTCGGGAAGACAATGGTCGCCGATCTGGATTCGATTTGATTGACTTTTGTTTGTTCCGGGACGTTCCAGGAGTCGCCATTTCCTTACGTTTTCCGGATGATTGCTTCGGGGAACCCTGAGACGTTGTGGGGACAACATCCTCAGCTTTGGCTCTGCCACAAACCATGGTCATCTTCTCTACCAGCTTGCTGATGATTTCCCTGTTTGCTGGCGGCTGGACCCTTAAGAATGTCTGCTTCTTTGTCAGATGTGAGGCTGTAATGGTGCTTGAAGGACAGTAATATTCCGACTCCAGAGTAATCGATGATGGCATTTCACGCACCGCCTTTGTGGTGCGATGCTTTTTTGGCAATAACTTTGTATTGGATATAACTTCTTCCACGACTTTTCCTCGAAGCACTTTTTGGGCCCCCAAGGAAATGTCTCTCGATTCCGACTCAGAAGTAAGTTTTCGATGGCGCTCTATCATCATGTCGTAAATTGAGACTATCGGTGTGTCTAAATTTCGCGACATTGTTAATATAATATTTAATAATGCTGAAGAATATATTTCAATAATTGTTTAACTCAAATTGTGTGTTTAGACGTTTTGAAATCGCCTAGTTCGTTTAGTTTGTATTGTTTTGAATGATTTTGCTATGAAAACGTAAATGGGAAACAAATGGGAAAAGTTAGCCTTATATTGAAATAATATTATAATATTTACATAATTTCTAACTGAGATGGGATTTTATTTTAATGTTTATATCTTTGCAGGGTACTAATAATTCAGCCAGAAGCTTGAAACATAGTGAAGGAGTTATGTTCGACCATATATAGTATATATATTCTTGATCAGCATCAACAACCGATTTTGTCGAACCACGATCGAGCCACCAAATAGAGGAGTGAGAGTAAGAGCGCGGGCGGGTGGGTTACAGATACCTATTTCCCTCTGTTACTCTCTGCCTTACTCTAGAGGTGCCTCTTTCTCTCTAGCGCTCTCGGTTTCACTTTCTCTAACATTCTCTTCGCTGGGAGAGTATAAATAGAGGCACTAGGGTCGCGCGCGAATCAGTCAGTCCCGGGAGGCCGCGGAGGTAACATCGACAGTGATCGTGCATTTTGTGATAGTGAACACCCCTCAAAGATGACGTGGCCTATGGAATTAATCTGGATAAACAAGAAGAAGCTCACTTCACTACACTGGAAGGAATTAAACCATGACGACAACGGATAACTATGTGTCCTCCACTGGGGTAAGTCCTAATCATTACAATTATATCGTATATATAGATGCAATATTAGGGATCATGCCTAAGTCCAGAATTACCTAATTTTAACATACAGTGATTAAGCAATTTGCATTATCTGCAAAATTTTATTTAAAGTAAAAAGCCTAACTAAATTATAAATTATTCACAAATATTAATAATACCATAGTTTGGCACCAACTTTTGCTACATTATTATACATTTACATGGTATTATAAAATCAGTCACAAGCTTGCAATGCTATCTACATTGTTAAAAATAGTCAAAAAATGTTTTTTTTCTTTAATCTAATAAAATCTAACACAGAATTGCTTTCCGAACTATAATTAATGATTTTTTTGCCTTAGTTTTGATCAATTTCCTATTTGCTCTTATAACAAAATTACAAATTTGCAATGATATAACAACTTCGGTTTCTTGAAATTAGCTTCCTTTTTTGTTTTTAAATTATTATTTTTATAAATCCCTTGATAGTAATTAATATTATTAGAATGTGGCTACTTTTTGTATTAAGGTCAGCCATTTCCGTTTCCATTTCCATCATGGCAACCTTAGACAAATTTTAAAGCATACTTTTTGGCATATGCATTGGCTGAGGCAAATGTCGAAAGTTTGTAAACATATTTTTGAGTATAAATATAGGGCAAATAAAATTAGCTGCAGCTCTGAATTGAGGCCAATATATTATTAATAAATATAATAATATGTTGCGTACTTAATTTTATTAATTTATTGTAATAAAATTAGCTTAATCACTTGATATTTATTGCTCTTCTATTTTGCTTAAAATATAAGTAGGAGTCTTGTTATTTTAATTTTATATCCAAGTTCTTATTAAATATATATAAATGCTTATTGGAAAACTTTTTTCAAATCGGTAACGACCCAATTCCAATTGCTCTGCTTTATTTCCCAACTCGTCCAAGTTCAAGATCCTACATGAAATCAAATGACTAAGATCACCGACTTTTGTGCCGCTTCTTTTGTTGCATTACAGCTCTCCCCTGGGCTATATCAACAAATGCGAAAGCCGCTCGCTGCCTGATAAGAATTCAAGTTCATTAAACCTCAAACGAATCAGGAACAATTTTGTGAAACAAAAAGTACGATTCCACTTGAATGTTGCGAGGTTTAAGTCAGTGCAATGAGTGTATTTTTATTTGTTTATAACAAAAATAAAACAAAAGATAAGCTGATATTTTTGAACTTCAAATTATAAATTTACTTGTTAACTTGAAACTATTTTATTCCTTTAAAAATTTGAGGAAAAGATCTAAGATACGAGCAGTAAGTAAAGAAAATATAATAATAATAAATAAATATATGTATATACTTTTAGTACAGAGGCAATAAAAATTTAAATAAATTCAGGTAAGAATAATAACATCATAAAAGAGCAGTAACAAATTTTTAATTAAAATAAATTTCCTGTAATAATATTTAAATAATAAATAACAGCCATTATATACTAACACACACCTAAAACTCAAAAATTAAGCAATAAACATGAAAATTGAAATACCGCAAAATTATTCACATTCTCGCCAATTTGCTTAATAAAATTTTTCTAGAATTTCAATATTTGTTTTACGCTCTCTCAAGCACACACACATTCAAGCAACGACCGCACGCACTCTACTCAGAAAAAAAGAAAGAAATAAAGAAAATAAGAATCTTATCAGCGAACGCAGAAAAATAAGAGCAAAAAAGACACAAACACACACACTGTACAGTACAGTAAACACCTAAAGTCAAGCTGAAAACAAAAACAAAAGAAAGCTGCCATAAAGCAAAAAAAAACAACAGCTACGCGCCGTGTTATTTTTCAAGGTTAAGAGCAAGTGCGTGTGCGTGTATGTGAGACGGTTTTTGGGTATGTGTGCGTGCGCACATTTTGCACATTGTGCGTATAAATAAAAAGAAGCAACAACAAATAGCAGCAACCAGCAACTCAACCAACACACAGCAACAAGAAATATAATTTTTTATAGAGAGGCCGAGCTACGCACCGAAAAATTAAAAAAAAAAACCAAAACCATAAAAAAACTAAAGAGACTGCAACAACAAAGGCAGAGAATTGCGGTCGCCGCGACGACTTTATTTTCTTTTCTTTTCGTTCTTAAGTTTATGGCAACATAATAAACTTAGTGATTCCACGGACACCCGCTGGGTGGTTAACGAAACTGAAAAATCATCATTATTTAGGCCTAATATGCAATTGTGCGTTATTTTCCATGTGCCATTTGGTCAACGACCCAGGCAGAAAGCCCAAACAGCTGACACATTTTATTATCGTACAGTCGCCAGTGCGTTCTCCTCCCTCTCTCTCTTTACTTTACTCTCCCTCTCGATCTTTACTTTACGCTTCTCCTTCCTGCCTTGGCCCACCCACACAATTGCATATCCATGGATCACACGCACACACACGGGCACACAACCCGAACAGTGCGTATACGTATTTAAATTGCGTATACGCAGCGGTTGCCCTCTGCGAGTTTAATGACTGATAAGATTGGAAAGCAGAAATTTGCCTAAACGAATTAGAAAGAATTTTAAAAGTTAAGAAAGGAATATTATGTTTACTTGGTTTTTATTTGAATTTCTTATTTATTCAACTACAAAAACCAGAAAACAAGTAGTGTAAAGAGTACTTTAATATAGTTTTTTTTTTTAATTTTCTTTAAGTGCTGTGATCTAAGCGGATCGTAAACCAGAATATAAACATAAAAAATAAAGATAAATACAATTTATCTTGAATTTCTTAATGTACAATCAAAATCCAATTTAAGTAGATTTTTATTAATTCAAGAAAATGGAAATGGAAGAAAATGGAAAATTACTCCACATTCATCATTTGTTGAAATTTTACTTTAAGAATCTGATAAAATTTCATTTCATTGTATACAATTAAATCTATCATATTTTTAAGTAGAAAAAATTTAAATAAAATGACTCAAACACTCGGACTTTCGGGCCACAAAAGCATCGCGTCAAAGCCGTTCGCTGCTACTCTAAAACGTCTTGAAACTTGTTAAATGACTTCTGGGTTGCCAATCAAGACCTTAAATTTCTATTGCCAAGTCAAAATTTGAGATCTGCCAAAGCAGCAGACCAGCTTTTATGGGTTATTGTTTTTTATCAACGAGCTTTATCATATATCTGCCGGTTGAAATCTGATAATATGGAAGAAACAGACTCTGCAATATACCTTTAAGTTCATGTGATAATAAAAGAGAGGTATTTTAAGAGAGGAAGCTGCTGTAAAGAAAAGTTGTACAGACATTTACAGACCTTACAAAATGTTGTTTTCAAATTAATGTATATATTTAAGAGTAAGGGATCCAAGAAATATCTAGAAATTGTAACAATTTAATCAAAAGAACTTGAATGAGACTGAAACCGCTTTGAAACACATTTTTTATTTAGATATTTGAAATAAATGTAATATTTGAGCTGCTTTCTATTGTTAATAGGAAGCTTCACACCATAGAATAGCCTAGAATAATTAATCTTAATTGGAACAATTAAAGTTTTAATTGTTCAATGCCTTAAAGAGAGGCAATAACAATCACAGATTAAGGCGAATTTTGTAACAATAATTATTATCAACAACCGCAGGTACTTACAGAGCTTTGTAATAACATAACAGGGAAATGATTTTAACAGTGGTGTAATGGGGAAGAGAATGGAAGAGAGTTTGTGAGAGGCTGCGGAGAGAGTAAAGCCCCAAGCCCGTGCAGATCGTAGGCGGTGAGAGCAGAAGAGAGCCAAGCGGGAGCTTAAGCGAGAGAATGAATGTCATTCATGCCAAGCTCTTTGCTCCCCGCCACAGTGGGGCAAAATTCACATGAATAATATTAACTAATAATTGTTTTTAAATATTCTAAAAAATTAATAAATATATTATGATAATTAGGATGTTTTCTTAACAAATAAAATTGTATGTGGAAAGGGCTTAATGAATGTGACTAGTGCACTAATTTATTAAGCTTGTGAAGCTGGGTAATATTTTTAAAAATAAATAAATATAATTAAAATGATATAAAATAAACAGTTAAAAAATCTCAATACTTAACAAACTAATTTCTATTGTAAAATTCCTTTAGAAGAATGATTATAAGAAGCCCAGCTAATAATATATCAGAAGTATATATGTATGTTTTTTAAATAAAATATTTGCTTAAATTTCCTAATTCTATATTATATATTTGATTTCTATTCACTGTACCCGGCAGCGGGAGCATTTAACGGTCTGTGCGATCAGTACACTGTTACTCTCTCTCTGTTGCTCTCTACAGTACGATTCCCCCAAAAGCACAATTCTGTTAAGTGGCGATTCATGTTAAAGATTGAGAAATCTATATAATGCTCTCTGTACAATATCGAAATCGGGCGCCGTTGGATGTCTTCTTCCATGCTGAAGCGCGCCGAACTCGCGTTGTGTGTTGTGTGGAAAAGCAGAATAGCTATAGCTCTCTGGCCGATCGTTGTTGTTTCCGTCGCTGTGCCCTTCTCCGTTCGTTCGATTTTTTCGATTTTTCGCCTTTTCGTATTATTCGTTTATTTCGGTTTCGGCTCTACAAGTCCAAAAAAAAAAAAAAAAAATCCCCTGCTCCGTAGTAAAAGTCGCGTGTTATCAAAAATGTTTACAAGAAACCTACACATGTTTCATGAATAAAATAAAAAAAAATAATGAAAGAATGAAAAATATATATTTGTAAGCAATTGAATTTGCAAAACAAAAAAAAGTGCTGACGATTTTTAATATCACAAGAAAGAAAACGAATTTTAATACGTTCCCCAACTCGTCTTCGCATTGTCGTTGCTTTCTGGGTGCGTTGTTTTTGTCATGTTTTATTTGTATACGCTTTTTATATTTTAATTCACATTCGCATTCATTCGCACATACTCGAAATTGCACAAAATGAAAACTGACGTTTCTTTTTTGGCGCTTTGTTTCGCGCGGGATAATTGACAAATATAACAAAAATCGACTTCGATCTCTCTCATCTTGCTCTCTCTTCCTATTTCTCCCCGATTCCGTTCCTGTTTCAGTTACTGTTTCGGCAGAAGTGCATAAAACAAATTGTTGATAAATTGCAGCAGGCAAAAAAGAGGAGAGAAAATAACACTTTGCGCAGACGCAGCGTCGACTAAACAAAACAGTCTCGGAGTTTTTAAACTAAAACGGGAGTTTTTTGTTGAAATTTTAATTGGAGATTTTTGCTGAAAGTTAATCTTTGAACCTTGAATTTTAAAGTTAAAGTTGAATTTTCGAATTGTGAATAAATAAAGTCTTTACTAAAAATAAAAGTAAATAACTATAAACAGTTGGAATTAATTTCGGAGTTTTATTGAAGTAAAGTAAAAGGAACTTTAATTTAAAAATATCACTCAAGCTTCCCTTTTATGGTTATCATTTACCACGAAATTCATAAGTTAAAATGTAGTTTAATAAAGTTGTAAATATTGGAGAAACATAAAACAATTCCGATAACGTTTTCATATTTGCAAAATTATCAAGAATGTTTAGTTTTGTGAAAGTGTAAAGTTTCAAAAATGTTGATTGACGTTTAGACGAAAAGTCCGTTTTATTTTTCATAAATACTTAAAAAAAATTATTAAAAGTTTAACTAATTATTTATTTTTATTTAAAATTTTGAATTAAAAATTGTACCTTAATGAACAATAATTTGAATTCAATTCGGAAGAACATAAGCTTGAATAAAAGTACAAGAAAACTATCTTTCTTAATTAGTTTCAAAATAAATTGTTATTTAAAAATGTTTTGAATATGCTTTATAGTGAAAACGTAAAGCATTGCATAGAATGCGTTCATATTTCCAAAATTTCAAAGAATCTTTAGTTTTGTGAATATGTAGTATTTCCAAAAAGTTAAAGTTCTGACAAAATACGTCTCATTTCCCGTAAAGAATTTACCAAATTTCTGACAAGAGTAAAAGTTAACTTATTCAACTATTCAACACATATGTTGCAAACTTTGAAAAGTCATTATGACATTCAAAAAGTTTTTGGGCAAATAGAAGACTTCTTGAATTTAAGTAACAACGTTTAGCTCAAGGCCAAGTGGCTTTAATTGGAGATTAAATAAGTATATAGCTGCAATTAACAAGTTGTAAATATAATTGCTGGTAATTTAATCAATTAGGAAAGTTTAAAGCAGAGCCGTAATTTCCTGTTTATTGGATCACAACGTATTTATATCATTAGTTATGGCAAACATGCAATCATATTTAATTAATAATTCCCCTTTTACGCTTCTCTCTTTTACAGACTAAATAAAAGACAGAAAATAAAAGGAACCAGACAAGAGCCAGGGAATTATGAAATTTTAAAGAAATCCCCAAAAATCCAACCAACCGCAAAATATGTTTCATGCATTAAAATAAAGGAAACGTGTTTAAGGCGAGCAAAAAAGTTATACATATATACACAAACATATACACGTATATACAAGTTAAACAAGATTTACATTTAAAATAACCGAAAAATAAAACATAAACAGGCAAAAAGGGGCAAAACGTTCACAAAAAGGTGATAATGATTATTTCCAAGGATCTTTTCATATTTGGCGAACAAATTTTTGCAACAATCATACCAGAAGGTGGAGCCGCAGCGCTAGCAACGCAACAGCAACAACAGCCGGCAATTATAAATACAACAGCAACATCAGCAGCAGCAGCAGCAGCAACACCAACAGCAGCAGCAGCAACACCAACAACACCAACAGCAACACCAACAACAACGACAACGGCGGCAACTTCGTTGGTAATAAACTCGACGGGATCGTCAGCAGGAGCAGCTGAACAAGTTGTAGAAGAGTCATTAAAAGTCGCAACAACAACAGCAGCAACACAAGCAACACCAGCCAAACAGGAAACAGTTGCAGTTGCTGTTGCCGCTGCTGTTGCTCCTCGCAAGTTGGCTAAAATTCCAAAAATTCCAAAGGAAGCCGAGGAATTGAAAGCCAAGAAAAAGGCAAAGTGCGAAGCGACTCATTACGAAAAAATGCCAATGAATTTGATGATTGTGGAAAGTGTTGAGCCGGTCGATATGGGATCGGACAATGAGAACGACAACGATAGCGAGTTGACCACAGAGCAGGTACCGTTGGTATCTGCCAGTCGACGCAATCTGGCCAAAATAGTTGCCGATTGTCGCCTCCAAATCGAAATGGATCCCGCTGCAGCAACACCGGTGACTACTGCAGCAGCAGCAGCAGCAGCAACAGCCACATCGGATGCGGCAGTTGCCACAGAAATTGAGGCAACCAGCGATACCCCCTCGTCGTCATCTTCCAGCTCCAGCTCCAGCTCCAGCTCCACATCCTCAGAATGTACGCACACATCACAGACAACGATACCAAGTACGGATAATCTAACGTCATCCAATGGTCTGGCCAATATGGGCAAAAGCATTTTAGTTGATGCCAAAAGGTGAGTTTTCAATCAGTGTTGACCCAATTTCAGTGCAATACCCACACAAAGTCAATTTCTATTTGATTTTTCTTATATTTTTTGGTACTTTAATCTTTTGGCTATGTATTCTCAATAAGGTGGGGAAAGTGGAGGTGTAATCCTCGAGGCTGGAAATCAAGTTTGCAACTTTGTAAATCCTAATGATACCGGTTGCATTCGGTTCGCATTGAGGCGATGCTCGATTTATACAGTTTGAGCGGGAAATCACTCCCTCGCTCTACAAAAACAAAATAGACATTTAATTAATGATTAGTTTTGGTTGAAAACGTAACCAGTCCGATGCTTAATTGATGGTCTGAATTGAAGTCAAATTAAAGTTTAATTACATTTCTACGAAACACATACTGCATGTGGCCAATGCTTATAACTAGAATATGGCAATAGGTTAGGGAGGATGTAGAATTTTTTAATTATTTAAAATTTAAATATAATTCCATAGTCACTATGGCTTACCCTGCAAATGTAATAAACTGCAACGTTTTACCCCAGCGGCATTGAAAACTTGTTCTTAAACTCGAACTTCCTGGCTGCCTTGGTCATGAGGATAAGCCAGGGTATCAATCGTTTCTCCGGGAATATAAGTATGGTATTTCCCCAATGCATCTGGCATATTTTAGCATCTGCTAAAAACCCATCCTTCAGGCTCCTTTGGTTCTCCCCCCCCCCCTCCCTGTCTGTTGCAACTTCCATGTGCCACAAAAAAATACAACAAAATAAAAGTAAAAAAAAATTTAAAACAGGTCAAAACTGCAGTGTTATTTGGGTTAAATTTTGCACGGATACATAAAGAACAAGAAGAGATTGCCAAAAAGTAAATAAAAAAAAGTAAAGTGCAACTAACTGAAAAATGCATACACTTGAAAAAAAACGAAAGACTCACATGGGAAACCGAGTTCTCATCAAGGATCAGGTTTTTGGATAGGTTGTGCTTGTTATTGCAGTTTTGTAGTTGTTTCCCTGGATTTTTGTTGCTGTTCCTCATACCTTGATGCATTTAATGGGGGATTATACACACACACACTCACACACTCTTGAAACCCCGTGTCGGTGTTGACCTTTCCTGTTGGCCAGCAGCTGTTGGCTTATATTTATTTATTATTTTGTCCTGCTGGGAATTCTTGAAAATAATTAATGAAGATATACTTTTACTAGTCCCAGGTAGTTTGCGGTATTTCGATTGCAATTTAAATTGAGGAATTGTTGTATGGAAAATATCCATAACACAAATTATGTAAGTTGTGAGGAAAACAGCTTGGCAAATTGTCAAGATTTTTCTACTAATTGGAAGGGAATATATGTATGTATATTCCTCACATTACCCATAAAATGAATTGCGAACAAAACATTATTCTGAATGAATCATGGATGGCAGTCCCTGCGCAACATGTTGCTTATTTTATTTTTTCTTTTTCCCTGATGCCAAATCGAGCATCAATTCCATCTTCCGATGCTGTTGTTACTGCTGCTGCTGCTGCTGCTGTTGCTGTTGCTGCTGCTGCTGCTGTTGCGGCTGCTGCTGCTGTTGCTGCTGCAACTTAAACTGGGTCAACTGCGAACCAATTTTCAGGCAAAAATTGCGACAACGACAGCGGCGGCAACGGGCAAACACACAATAATAAAAAATAAAATAAAACGTGCCACACAACATAAAGGCAAACAACGAGAAAAGATGCAGCAAAAAAAATGCATTTAAATTGCTCTTCGGCACAACAACAACATAAAGTTTAAGGAAAAATATCAAGACAGAATTCGGATTTAAATTCTTGAACAGAAATCACCGACATTGAGTGCACTCTAAATCGCATAATAATTGAAAAATTTACGTTAAATGCACATAATGATGAATGCCTGCATCGCAGCGACCCAACAATGTTCTCATTGTAATTTAATTTACTTAATTTGCCAACACATAATTGAGACTTGTGCGAAACTCGATCTCAGCATTAACCCAAAGTCTGTCCGTCAGACGACGGCGACAGCCGGAGTGACAAACGAATTAAAATAAATAATTGAAATTGCTGGCCAACTCGCAGTTGGAGTCAGAGTCGAGAGTTGAGAGTCGAGAAAGGAAAAACCACCCGCTTTGCTATTTATTTTTTTCTTTCAAGAATTGCAAAAGATCTTTGCAGAGCTCTGGCAAATGATTATGGTATTTCTTGATTTTTTTCACAGCGCATTTTGCATTATAGCCAGGCTTTAATTGAGCCACCTCTAAAGGGCAGGCCAAAACAATTGGGCAATGGAATTTCAGTTAATTGCAGTTTACCTACAAAAATAAAAACAAAAGCAAAAGGGAAACAAATTTTGGGTTGATAATTGTTGTGTTACTTAGGGTATTTTGAGAAGTTTTAGATAATAGTTTTGCAACATAAAAATCAAAATAAATTATCTTACTTGCATTTTTTACACTCCTATATAATTTCTTATTTAATTTACTATAGTTTACTGCTAATTTGAGAGCCTTTAAAATGATATCTTAATTTGTAAGTCCTTATTGATATTATGCTCAATATTTAAGGTATCTTTAGAAAACCATCTGTGGCTAAAGAGTTTATGCCCGATTTAATTTTGTTTATAACAATTCAAGAACATTTCAAAGCGCTGAGCATAAGAAAAACCAAAAGTTTGGAAAAGAAAATTCCATTTACATTTTGGAGTAAAGAAATCTCAAAACAAATTGATGATTTTCCTCGTTTCAAGTTTGTTGAACTTTTTTCCGATTTGTGGCAAAGGGGGATGGATGGAAATCTAAAGCACAAACAATGCATTTTCTTCCCCAATTTTGTTCCACAAACAAATACTTTTAGTTCATGTTACTGGCGGCGACTTTTATTGGAAAAAACTTTTGGAAAATTGAGTACAAACTGCGTAAAACAAACAAATCCCCCTGCGGTAAGGAGGCTGTAAGTTGCAAGTATTGTTTTTGACTTGAAACAATCAGCCATAAAACTATAATAAAGCGATAAAAAACTTAAGTGAAGGAGGTGCCTTGGGGTCAGAGTTCGTAAGTGGTATCAAGTTCAATTGTGTAACACAAAACGGTTTGAATAAAGCGGGGAAATATGAAAATATATTTTATGTTATTTCTTTATTGCTATATTTGTTTACATATTTATATTCTTGCTAGATTTGTTTAATAATTTATAAGGAATTTTAATTTAGGAGCACAGAAATATAGAAATAACCCTAATGATTGTAACTAATCTTATTTAAATCATTCCCTAAACTTCCTTTTATCGAATGACAAACTTTTCAGGATCCAATTTGTGGCAAAGCTTCTAAGTGTCTGGGGGGCAAATACACCAAAAAAGTTTCCTTAGTGTAATAAACCGGTTATTAGGCTTCTATTTAGGTCAAGTTTTAATATGATAACACACACACACTCTCACACAGAGAAATCCAAAGGCGTGCCAAATTCAGAAATTCAGGCAACTCCAAATGGCGCATTTGCAAAATTTTTTGGGTTTGGTTTAATGTGATTTGATAGAACATAAACAGGATGGGGTAGAGTTGGGTTTCAGTTTGGGTTTTCTAGGTAGGGAAAAAGGATTGAGAACTAGACAACGCAATAGATGAGAATAGTTTTGTTGTTGTTGTTTTTTTTTTTTGGGTATTGAAAGGTGTGCAGCTGGCTGATTATCAAAAAAGGTTTAACAAAAGCTATTTCGCGGTGGATGAGCTTCAATGCTGCCCCTGCCCCTTTTCTATTTCTCTATTTTATTGTTAACTATAAATTTGAATATTTGTTTGCTCCTGGGGTATTTGCCTGCATTTGTATTCAAACTATTTTATATCCCTGGCAGGGTATTGTATTCAATTAGAAGCTTAAAACGTAGTAAAGTAGTCTTTTACGATCCTATGAAGTATATATGTATATTATTGATCAGCGTTAAAAGCCGAGTCGATCTAGCTATGTCCTGCGAGTTTATTTTTTTTTTAATTTAAAAAAAAAATATAAAGGGTTATATGGTTAAAATTGTTAAAATTTTTACAAAAAAATTTAATTTTCTAAATTTTGTAAATCAATGTGCAGATTTGTTAACTTTATAAAACTAGCAAGAATTGAAATTAATAAATTTTTGGCTTAGTTATGCAATATTTAACAGTTCGGCTTCCCGAAAATAGCTATCTTTTTTGTTCACAGAATATCTTTATTATAGAATAATATATTCACAGCTAATAATAAAAATTAAAACATCTGCCGTCAAATCAAATTGAATTAAATTTATAATAATTTAGTGAAAAAATTAATGCTGGCACTATAAATTTGATTAAAAATATATAACTTCCTTATTATAGAATAATATATTCACAGCTAATAATTAAAAATTAAAAACATCTGCTGTCTTGCAATCAAATTGCGTTGAATTTATAATAATTTACCAAATAAAATGAATGCTAACACTATAAATTGATAAAAGTATACATAAAACATTAAAACTAAACTGTGTTCCTTACCATTTTAAAATTGATTAGAGCTATATATTTTAAATAAAATTATATGCGAAATTTAAAAACAACTAATAAATTCTACCCTTTGATAAGGCAATGCTGACATAATATAATAAAGATTCAAACATAAAATTATGATAATATAAATCTCCAGTACTCTGATTACCTTTGAGTTAGAGAGAGATCACCTTTGGCCGAGTGGGCGCCCAGTTGCATCTCGTTCCAAGTTGTGATCTAGAAAATCTCCCCAACAAGGCGTGACAAAACAAATTGCCAGACGACCGAAACAGGAAAAACCATTGCGCAATGCATTGCAAAAAAAAAAAAAAAATAATAGGAAAACGAAAAACGAAAAAAAACAGAGTAAATAAGGCAGAAAAATTGCAATTTATTATAATTTAATCTAGAATAGAAATTAAATAGAGCCGGAGGAGCAGGGCTGGCGTTGCCTCTGTTCGTTCTGTTTGGATCGCTGCATACATTGTGTGCTGTGTGTGCCCTGTTTG